AAATGGATGATGATGTTGATGATGATGATGATGATGATGATGATGATATACAGTGCATAGTTCAACTGTTAATTTCATTCCACAAGTTGTGGTGATGGCCACCATTTTGGGCAGCTTTAAAGGGGGATTGGACATATTCTTGGAGAAGAAGGCTGTCCATGGCCACTAGTCCAGGTGGCTCTATGCTAGCGGCGGTGTGTTTATGTACACCTGTTGCTGGGGAGCATAGGCGGGAGGGTGCTGTTGCACTCATGTCTTGCTCGGGCGGAAGGTTGGAATCCTGTGGGCAGCTGGTGGGCCACAGTGTGCTGGACTAGATGAATCCTGGATCTGATCCAGCAGGTCTCTTCCGATGTTCTTATGCTCCAGTGTCCATCTGACTTGGTAACGGTTGGTTTCATCACATCTGCATCACATTTAAAGCACTGCAATGCACTCCATGCACTCCACAGGAGCTACCCTGAAGGCACCTCTGTGGTGCACAATGCTAATAATATCAGGTCCTAAATACACCTGTCCTGAATGACCAGCACTGCTTTCCAGGAGTTGGGTATAATGTCTTGGTAAAAGGTAAAGGTTTCCCCATGACATTAAGTCCAGTCATGTCCGACTCTAGGGGGCAGTGCTCAATTCCATTTCTTAGCTGGGGGAGCCAGTGTTTGTCTGCAGACAATTTCCGTGGTTGTGTGGCCAGCATGACTAAATGCCAAAGCACACGGAACACTTCCCACCAAAGTTGTACCTGTTTATCTACTCGCATGTGCATGCTTTCAAACTGCTAGGTTGCCAGGAGCTGGGGCAAAGCAGTGGTAGATCATCCTGTCATGTGCATTTGAACCACTGACCTTTTGATTGACAAGCCCAGCAGCTCAGTGGTTTAAACCGCTGTGCCACTCACATCCCACTGGATGGCTTAGGACCAAGCTATTGAAGAGACCACCTGTCTTGTCACGAACCTGCATGTATTGAGCTCTGAATTGAACCCTCACCCTTTCGAATGCTCCATTATTCGTAAAGGTCCATTGGTGAGAAATATGGAAAAGGGCTTTCTCCTGCATTGTTGACCTTGGTGAGCAGCACCATCACATTCCCATTATGCTTCAGGCAGCAGTAAATAACTGAGCCTCTGGAAAAGCCAATCATTTTGGGTGGAGGAGCTTGGCCAAGAGATTGCTGGGGCCTGAGGAATGGAATTGCTTCTAAATTTCAGCTCAGTTTGGGAAGCAGCAGGGTCAGTACTAGTTGGAGATCAAGGCAGGAGATGCCACCGGGGCTTCTGCATAGAAAACTGTGAGTAAGATGCAGCCACTGTAGGTGGCCACAGCACTGTTGTGTGGAAAGCAATGGAAAACCATCAACCTGGTGCTTGCCAAGTGTACTCATCATAGTTAGACACACATCCAAAGGTAGTCTAGCCAGGATGGTGCCCAACCTTTACCAAAGGAACGACAAGAAGAATGTTCTTACCATTTTTAATTCTCTTGTTTTCATTATTTTAACGTTTATTGTTTTAGAATAGAAGCACACCACCTTGATGACTGTATTTTAATGCTAATCATAAATCAGTACATAAAGGCCGAGATGTCACCTATAGATGGACAAGTATTGGAAGCTGTGATAAAACATGGAACTGTCCATCCTGAAACCTGGAACTGGATGCCAAATGCTCCACTCTGGTCATTGGGCTGGGTTTCCCCGCTAATAATCCTGCTAAACACCAAAAATTTCCCCCGTCCACAGATGTACAAATATGGCCACTTTCTCTGCCTCCCAACATGGGACTCCATATCACTGAGCAGGGCAGGCTCTGCTGGAAGTGGATTTCAGATCCAATCAAGCCAGGACTTTCCTGGAAGCAACAATTGGTGAACTAAAGCTGCGATACTTCAGGCACATCACGAGAAGACAAAATTAACTGGAGAAGACAGTAATACTAGGGGAAAATCCAAGGCAGAAGAAGAGGAGGAAGAGTAAACGTGAGATGGCTTGATTCTGTAACGGAAGGCTTGCGTTGGCATGTCCTGAATAAGGCCGTCAAAGAAGGGCACGACCTTCATAGGGTTACCATAAGTTGACAGCACATCACAGCCATCCTGATTCTCCTGGCTCTCCTTTGAAGATCTCCGGAACGCAGCCATCCTCGATTTCCGGCCATTCCGTGCCTGAAGATGGCAGAAGAAATTGCCAAGTGCTCAAAAGCATCTGCATGTCCAGCGCAAGACAGAGGGCCTTGAAGCGACCAGGACATGGGACGTGATATATCTGAGAGCCCTGTAAATGAGTCAACCTGCTTCTGAGTCATGTTCCAAACCTGCAGGATGGATTGCATTGCCAGATTTGTCTTCAGGAATCCAGGCAATGGAATTCACCTGGAAATTTGTTAGCAAAATTAAACTCTACCCAGCTCCATTTCCAGCACTTTCATTTTACTGCTTTCCCAATTACTTGATATATTTTGCAGACATTTGAATGTCTGCTTGTTATCCTCAGGATACCTTGGATAACATAGTTTAGATAACACATAAGCATATGAAACAATCCTCTTGCATTACATACTGCATCCATTGTGACTCTTCATCATGGGGCTAGTAGTCTTAAAGTCACGCACCTCCGGGACCAGGACCTGTGGGGAAAAAATCTATGGCTCTATGGACTGCAAGTTCAACATGAAGTAGCAATGCTAGTAGTTGTCAGCTGAAGGAAGAATGTTGTTTCCTGTTGATCCAAGGATATGACTCAAACCAACCAGTTCAAAAAATGTGAAGAAAAATAAATTACTTGATTTATATTTCACACAACCTTACAAAGAACCATTTCAACTATCCATTAGGAAGAAACTCCCTTTGTCAGTGGTACAGATTGCATCGGAAAGTTGTGGACTCTCCTTTGCATGACATTTTTGAGAGGTGATGCACCCAGCAGTGACGGATTTCCTGCATTCGCTGCTGGTTGGACTGGATGAACTTAAAAGCCTCAGTGGACTCCATGATTCTCTCACCTATCCCTGGAAGTGTGTGTTTGGTTCTGGAACCATTAGAGGGGATGTCTTGTAGCGAAGGGGTTGAATCTGAATGAGAATGGACAGACAATAGTAAGGATACCATTCACCAATGCACATTCAACAAGAATGCAAACTCTCTGGGTCTATCAAAAGTTGGCAGATTTTGGCATGGGGAGCAGAGTTGTCAAAAGGATTCAGATTTCTCTTCAGTTCTCTCTTGTTTGCACGGTTTAATGGCAATTCTAGCTGGCTTCAGTATACTTGGCAACCGACTGTTGCCAAGTATACAGTTTTTCCCACTGCCTTGGCTACATGTTTCACATTTGGGAATGCAAAGCAAGACAACTTGCTAAAGCAAAATAAGAGGAAGGTGTCCTAGCTAATAGCAGCTCACAATCATGCACACACACACACACACACTGCTCTGACATACCTCAGGCAGGAAACCATCCCTAGGGAACAACTCTTCCCACATCGTGAGGTCCTCAAGAAATAGGATCCCCCCACCCCATTCCTTTGTGGGACAAACCAGCTCCTTTCTTTGTGTGTGTGTGGGGGGGGGGGGGTCGCAAGCCTGGCTGTGGCACGGGTGGCCCAAGGGGGCATTTGAAGCTCCCCCACCCCAGCACCTTCCCCTCCTGCCGTTCTGCCCGGATTCATTCTGGCCCCTGTGGACACAGCACGCTGGACCTCGATGGACCTGAGCCCGGATCTCCTGGGTTCTTGCGATGCTCTCGCGCCTGTTGGTTTTCCACGAGCAAGGAGCCCGCTGGCCTGCCCACTTCCCCAGTCGCGAGCTCCTGGAAGCCTTTGCAACCCGAGTCACGTCTGTTTGGGTGTAGGCTGCCTTCCCTCGGAGAGACGTCTCCGAGCGGCCTCCTCCCTCCTCGCCTCCCCCTCACCGCTCGCTTCTGCCCACCCGGGGAGCTAGCCTCCTCCTCTGGCCACAGCTGCGCCCTACCTTCAGGCTGATCGCTCTCGCTCTCTCTCCCCCTCCTCTGCCCCCTCCTCGCCCCCTCCGCCGCTCTGCTCCTCCTCCTCGGCTCCCTGCGCACTAAGTCCGCTTTCTGCATTTGTTTAAAGGGAGGGGCGGGGGGGGCCGCGTTGCTCAAGGGTTTTGCCGCGGCGCCTCTCCTCGCCGCGCAGCTCGCCGCGGAGAGCGCAGCCTCTGTAGCTCGCTGCTGCTTTTGCAGGTGCCGCCGCTCTCGAAGGAAAATCCAGCCAGCCTGCCAGCCTGCCTCCTGCCTGCCTGCCTCTTTGCAGAGCCCCCCAAAGCGCGCTGCTCGCCAGACGGGAAAAGCGGGGAGGGGAGAAGGAAAAAACCACGCCAGACCACTCCAGGAGGCGGACAGGGAGATGCTGCGGCGAAAGCATCCCTGGTGAGGAACCGAGCCAAGCGGGGCGCTCCCCCGGGGATCTGAGCAGCCAGGTGTAGCCGCGACTGCGGGAAGGGGAGCCGGAATCGGCGGCAGCCTCGGGAAGAAAGAAGAGGGCAGCGGCCCCAACCCTTCTCCGGGCCCCCGAGTGTCTAACAGGTTGACTATTTGCAAAGCGGCTGAGGGGCGAGCGTAGGGGGGGCTTCAGAGAGGCGCCGGCGGCTCCGCTGCTCTCGGAAGCGCCAATGCTGCGCCAGGGCTCCCGGGCGCGTTTGGAGACGTCGTCGGGGGACCTGTTGGTTGCGCCTCTCCTCCGGCTCAGCTGAACCAACAGGCAACTTTCCACCCGGGGCCAAGTTCGAGAAGGATCTCTCCAAGCTGCGCCGAGAAGCGGCCGGGACTCGGAGCGGGGAGCGGAGGAGGGGGCTGCCCTCCCCAAGCCAAAGGGCGAGCGCCCTGTGCCACTGGCGGCTGGCCCCTGGCGGGCTCCGGAGAGCGGCCGGAGGTCTCGCGGCCTCCCGTCGCGCCTGCTCATTCAGAGGGGACGCGAGAGCAGCATGCTGGGGGCTCCCCCCGCAGGCAGCCCCCGCAGCCCCGCCGTGTGACCCTCCAGGGTGGCGGCCATGGCAGCAGCCATCGCCAGCTCCCTGATCCGCCAAAAGAGGCAAGCGAGGGAGCGGGAGAAGTCGAACGCTTGCAAATGTGTCAGCAGCCCCAGCAAGACCAAGACGAGCTGCGCCGACAAGAAGAAGCTCAGCGTCTTCTCCCGGGTCAAGCTCTTCGGCTCCAAGAAGAGGCGGCGGAGGAAACCAGGTGGGGGCAGGCTGGTGGCCCTGGTCGCAGCGGCCCGGTTGGCGCGGGCATCCAGGTGGCCATGGTGGGCCCAGGAGGTCCTCCATTTTCCTCTTAACTTGGGGCCTTCCAGGTGGGTTGGGCTGCAGAACCCTTCAGTCCAACAAAGCATGTGGCCTGGGGATGATGTAGCCCAACACATCTGGAGATCCCCAGGATGGCGAAGGAGGGGCTAGATGGACTTGTGGGCTGGTCCAGCAGGGACCTTCTTAGCCAGAGAAGGAACTTCCCTATGCAGAAGCAGTCTAGCTAACTTAATATCAGAGAGTAGGAACAACAGGACAGGGTGTGGGTGCAGGGGTGCCCTTGTGTCCCACTCATGGACTTCTGGTTGGTGTCAGTGGGCAAACCAGCTCCTGGGCCTTTTGCTCTGATCCAGCAGGTTTCTTCTTGTGCTCTTAGGGGAGTATCGAAGCTGGCCATCCTTCTGACCTGACCAGCTGCAAAGGCTGGGAACCAGCACTGGACAGACCTGGGCAGTCGCCTTGTCCCGTGGCAGGCCATGGGGCTCTGGCTCCTCTCCTCTGGGGCTGGAATGTCAGGGGCTGAACTGGGGCCATGCCTCCAGTGGCCAGTGATCAGCGCTGGCTGCCGGCATGTTAGGGCTGAAGCAAGAGGTGTAGGTGCTGGAATCAGCCAGCGAGTGATGCCTTCAAGAGAGGGGGAAGCGTCATAACTGGTCGGTTGGTTGCAGCTCTTTCCGACTTGCGTCCCTGTTGGAAGACTTCAGGCTTCTGTGGGTAGGTTGCACGGGTCCCTCTTTTCCCAGTGTGGCTGCTTGTATGGAGAAGTTGTGGCAGATACAATGACCCTGCAGAAGGCTTAAATGGGAGTTGGGTCCAATCGGTGGATTAAATGGACATCTTGAACCTCCATGTGCAGGAGCAGCGAAGCTCTGAGAATCAGCCCGAGATGGACGATAGCACATTGCCTACTTGTGAACCCCAGAGATGTCGAGCTGGTTTGCCACTGGACGAGATGAACTTCTGATACACTGAGGGAATGTCTGTCTCTTTACAGAAGTGACGCAAGGTGTTCCTTTTCTTCTGTGAAACTTCCATGTGTAGATCCCCCCCAGTGCCTTTTATGGGGTGTCATGCAGGCATCCGTTGTGGCGATCCATGCAGGGTTTCCATGCTTTGGCCTGCACAGAAGTGCTGTCAGCAACCCTGAAATAGGAAGCGATCGGCCTGATGCTGGGCGCCTTCCTGCGGGTGAATGGGAGTTGTAGTCTTTCACATCTGGAAAAGAACACCTGGCTGGAGGAGGTTGTGGGACCAGTTCTTCCAGCACATCTCCAAACAGGTGGACTGAAATGTGCAAATGGACATCTTGGCTTTCTGGTCCACACAGGTGATGGCAATTTACCACATGGCCCCCAAAATGCACGTGCCATTGTTGCTTGTCTGTGTAGGACAACCTTTCCCAACCAGGTGTTCACTGGGTGTGTTGAATGACAGCTCCCATCCTCCCAGGCTGGCAGATGGTGATGAAAGTTGTAACCCAGCACATCTGGATGTTTACCCCCCTCCCCCATACACCCATTCTGATGGGCGTCAAACAGCCCAGGGTCTTTTTCTTTGTAGGACTTTGCCTCTGATTTTCACTGCCTCCTCCTTCATTCACCTTGTGCTCACAAAAAAGATTTTTTGCATTTTGGCAAGAGTTGTTTCCTACTTTTTGTACACCTCCTTGCACAGGTTGTTTTCTTTCCTTATGATTTCCTGTACTTGCCTTTCTCCCACATCCTTGCTTGTTAATAGCTGTGGTTCGTTTCCCTTTCTTGCACAGGCAGTATTTTTTTACTTCCCTCCAGCCTACACAAAGGCACTGTCATACCGGCAATTTATTGGCCTCCCTTGGCATGCCCAGCACCATCACTGCAATGGCGAACGGCACTGTCTGTGTTCCCCCTTGCTGGCTTGTTCCCCAAACTTGAGATTTCCCTGCTGTCCCAATTTTGCATCCATTTGTGCATGAGTGTGTGCACCAATGGCTCACTAATCCCTGTGGGTTTGCACGTGCATAGACACACGCAGGGTCGGCCGAGGGGCACTGCTTGCTTCTGTTCTCACATCCCTGTTTTGGAGCTCATCAAGATATAGGAATGATCTTCCTCTCTCACATTCACCCCCAGTGGGCCCACTCAGATATGTTAGGCAAGTGTGGAATCTGGAGCGGGGAGGAGAAAGAGAGAGAGGAGGAGGGCAGCCTTTCCCAGCTGTGCATCTGCCCATCATCTTCACAGCCGCATCGTCCCATGAACCGGCCTTGTTTTGTGTCAGGCTCTCTGTATACCTGGCAGTTGACCAGGGACCTGAGCAGATCACCTGTTACTCAGTCCTTCTTTTGTAAGCTGAAAGGAGCAGGGATGGAACCAGGGTCTTCCCACATGCAATGCATGTGGTCCTCCATCAAGTTAGGGCTGAATGCAGCCAACTAAGGAGTAGCTCAGGACCCCTGATATGTGATCTTGACCTTCCAGTAACCCTGTGAGGTTGGTTTGGCTGTGAGGCAGTGAACTGACGGAGAAGGAACTGCGACGAGATCTCTGGTGACCTAGGTTCCTTCTACTCCCTCCTTGTTCCCCCTCTGCACATCTGTGTATTTGTTCCACTCAGTTGTTGTCACCAAGGTGCTCCTGTCCTGCTTTTGTAAGAACAGACTTCTATGCAGCTGGGAGCCCTGCATCACAGTAAAGACTGATTCGATTTATTATGATATAGGCTTTATGGACTACAGTCTGTTTCTTGAGATGCATGAAGCGTTTCCTTGATTTCTAAGTGTGTGTGAGAGAGAGACAGAATATATACTATCAAGGAAGCATGTGGGTAGATAAGGAATGACCAAGCATGAAATTCTCTAGAATGTATCGGAGAAGCAGATGGACAAATCCCTTCTCCTCTTATTTTACTTGCCAAAAACCCCTTCTCCTGTGAATTTGTCACCTTTTTAGACACTTACCTATAGAAAAGATTTTGTGTGTATGTTAATCCCCCACTCCCAAGAAGCAACCGATAAAGGGACCTGAAATTACTGAATGTAAACGAAAGCGGGAGCGCATGCTTGTTCATAGCCCTTGCAATCAGAGGCAGCAAGGTAGAATGCAGGCTGCTCTGGTGGCAACCATGGGGCATTTCCAGTTGCCATTGAGGAACTGCTTGGCCAGAAGTTGCAGCCTAGCCAGGCACTCTAAGGAATGTTCCTAAGTGATGTTGTTGGGGTTTCAACCCCCTTTTCCTCCTATTCATGCACCACAATTTTTGGAGCATACTTAGGGGAAAAAAACACCCAATGTTGGACACCTAAAAGGCAAAGTGCTTAATGAGACTGATTAGCGTTCCTCAACTGGCGAGGTTGCTTGTGCGAAGAGGGGCCCATGCTCTCCGATCTCGCTTGGATGAGACCTGAATGTGGCTTTTCCATGGTGCTGGCAAGTGAGGGTTTTTGGCACTTCTCACAAACCAGCCAGACCCCTGTGCCGAGCAAACTCGGGTATGGGTTAGCATTGTTGGTTGCTGGAAGCTCTGGGCTTCAGCAGCAGATTTACTAAATTTCGGGATCGAAAGACAGCTTCCGCCCACCTGGAGATGGGAGGACACCCCAGGGGCCCTTAGTTTCCCTGCTCTGCTAGAAATAGATTGAGGGCCCCATGAAGAGACCAACTAATTTAATACCATGTGTCTGTCCCAGTTAATCCCGCCATAGTGTGTGCTTGAGTGTTTCATGATTCTGCTTGTATTGAAATCAGGGAACTTGCAGATGGGCTTGAGCACTGTCCAAAAAGAGAATGCATTTTCTCACTGCTTGCATGCACACAAGTGTGAACTCTTGCAGCATTTTTATTCATTACATTCGCCGGTGTGTTCTTAGAGGTTTTGGACCCTTCCAATTTTTGCTGAGGTTCATCAGTATTCACCCTAGTTCAAACATTCACTGTAATGTGAGTGTATTTGTGCATGCATCTCTCTCTCTCTCTCTCTCTCTCTCTCTCTCTCTCTCTCTCTCTCTCTCACACACACACACACACACACACACACACACACACACACCCTCCCCACACACACACACACAACCTCACCATTTGAAACGAACTGCAAACATAATATGGGCTTCTAAGTTTGGAAGAATCTTTCCTGTTTCCTGTGTGATCTAAGACTGTATATAGCCATGTTTTTGCTTCTGTCTCACGGTGCTGAAGAAGCCAGCCCTGTCCACAAAGTGGTGGATCCGTTCCCCAGCCCTCTTCTTATTCTTGCCATTTTAGTGAGTGCACCCCCACCCCTTCATCTGTTGATGAATCTCACCTCATTAAAAAACAGGATCTTCCTCCTGCCAGTGCATTTCTAATTGCAATGGAGAGCAGCTCTAGCTCTTTCAGCCATTGCAACACACAATTGGAATTTTTATTCAGTGGCACAAAACTGGTGTTTCCAAACCATCTGCATTTCATTGACCAAATGAAACATCATCAGTTGTGGCCAATGATTTTCCGGGCACTGATTTGTCCCTTGGTTCTGGAAACGGCTGTGAATTTTAGATTTGTGGTGTTTTTTTCCCTAGGAAAGCAAAATAAGACATTTATTTTATTTTACTGCTATATGCAAGATGTATATGAAAGACTGGGTTCCAAAGTCCAACCTTTTCTCTTTGTTTCTTTTCTTACAGAACCCCAACTTAAAGGCATTGTAACGAAACTGTACAGTCGGCAAGGGTATCACTTGCAGTTGCAGGCAGATGGAACTATCGATGGAACCAAAGAGGAAGAAAGTACCTACAGTGAGTACCCACCCTGGAAATGATCAGGCCTGGTTTGTTTGTGCAGTCTACTAGTCCACATGAGCAGCCTCTTGAAACCAATGGCTGCTTGACAGAACTATGGCAACCAAATCATCTGTGTGCATGGTTGCTATTAAGCCACCAGAAAAGGAACACTTGAACTGCAGACACTTGAACTGCACAAGTTGAGGTACTTGTGCTCACGGGGCGGTGGGTGGGGGGCACCTATCCAAATGCTGTCTCCATGAAGATCTGGTATAGTTCATCACTTTGTTTAGGTGTTTTATTTCCGGGACCTCAGTAGCAGATGGGATATAAATGATTTAAATAAACAAATAAATACATTCTCTGGTTGGGAAAAGTTTCTCACTCCACTCATTTGTCCGCCTGGCAGACAAAAGGTGCACCTTGATCTGTAGCACCCAAAAGCTTTCCATTCGATCAAACTCTGCTCAATGTAGAAAGCAGAATTTCAGGGCTCCCTTCCTCACTCCACAGCCCTGCCATGGGGGATGATGGGTTTTTTGTCTTATAGTACAGGAAGGCAGCAAACTGCCCATGGGGCAGAGGGAAATTTCACTGGGGATGGGTCCCACCTGCACTGGTGGCTTGTGCCCCCAACATTTTGCCTGGCTCCACACCCCAATACAAAGTGAAGACAAGGTGAGGTGTCATCCAGATGACGTTGCTTTTTTTCTCCTGGATTAGCACAAGCCAATGCTTTCTATATTAGAAACATAGAAACAGAGCAAGTCAGAAGGGGTCTCACGGGCCATCTAGTCTGACCCCCAGCTCCAGCCAGCTCCACTCACAACATGCCCACAATGTACATGTCCAGCCTATCTTTGAACACCCCCACCGATGGGGCCTCAACGGCCTCCCATGGAAGCCCATTCCACACCCTCGGGGTCCTGACTGTCAGGAAGTGCTTCCTGGCATCCAAAGGAACCTTGGCTTCCTGAGCTTGGCTCCGTTGGAGCGCGTCCTGCCTTCCTCTGCAGGGAAGAACAGGTCTCTACCCACCTCCGTATGACACCCCCTCACATACCTGTATGTCGCCAACATATCCCCTCTGATTCTCATCTTCTCCAGGCTGAGGAGAGCCAGTTCCCTCAGTCTCACCTCATACGGCATCCCCTGCAAACCGGCCACCAACCTTGTGGCCCTGCGCTGCACTGACTCTAACCTGGCTATATCCTCCTTGTAATGAGGGACCCAGAACTGAGCACAATACTCCAGTTGTGGGCACACCAGAGTCATATAGAGTGGTAGTAATACCTCTCTTGATCTAGAAGCCATGCTTCTGGCTATGCAACCAAGGGTGGCGTTCACCCTCTTGACCACCGCATCACACTGCTGACCCATGTTTAGCCTGCAGTCAACCAGTACCCCGAGGTCCCTTTCACATGTGCTGCTCTCCAGCCACTTGTCCCCTAACCTGTACTTATGACAGCTATTCCTATGCCCCAAGTGCAAGACCTTGCACTTATCCACATTGAACGCCATCCTGTTGTCTCCTGCCCACTTCCATAGTCTGTCCAGATCCTTCTGGATCTAAAGTACCTGCTCCTCAGTGGTGGCCACTGCCCCCATTTTAGTATTGTCTGTGAATTTGACCAGCAGACTGTTCACCCCTTCCATCAGGACAAGGATGGAAATGCTTGGCCTCATGTCATGCAGGTGGGCAAGCCCAGACCAAGAAAAGCGGGGTGAGAAGGGACAGAGCCATGGGGAGGAAAGGGGGTGAGCAGAGGGAGGGGCAGTGAGAATAGGGCTGCAGAAGGGAAGGGAGAGGAGGTGGTCCTGCACAGGTGTGGCGCTCATCCTGCCCGCTTCAGAGAGGTCACCTGCCCCCCAAGGACCACTGGCTTTCCAGGGCAAAGGGTGGAAGAGCCAGGCACCATGTTCACACAAGGGACCGTGCCAGTGCCCCCTCTTGCTTTCTTCACGGGTATGAAGCCATCTGCTTGGTTGGTGGGGAAAGGGGTTCGTGGAGGCGCTGAGTGCCTCCATGCTCCTTCCACTCTTCCAGCATCATCGCGATTGCCATCAGCACAACGACTGTCTCTTTCATCCCCTTGTGCCTGCTCAGAAGTCGGATCATGGCATGCCTTGCACAGCAACGCAGAGCCTCTCAGCAAGGGGGTCAACGTGTAAACGTGCTCAGTCTGCTGCCAAGTGGAGGAGCAGTTTCACAGCTGCCCTGTTTCCCCTTCTGCCTATGCTGGTTAGGGCTGATGGGAGCCACAATCCAAGGAAATTGGGAGGGCCACACATTCCCCAGACAGCCGTTATCCGAACCAGACAGCCCCTCCGCAGAGACACTTTCGAAGGGCCCCGTGGCTGCTTCCGCCCTACTTTCCGGGCTGCTGGGAAGCCCTGCATTGCCTTCTCTCGAGGAGGGAATCTTGGGCCAGGCAGAACATTGGCCTGATCCCCCTTGGCTGCTCATACCATCTGGCAGAGTCAAACTGCTTCTATCGGTTCCTGTTTACAGGGGTTCTGTTTGAATACCCTGTTCTGCTGTGTACGAATTTTTATTTTAATCCACCCCTCAAAAAACCTAATCAAAAACCTAATCAAAATTTAAACTGAAAATCCCACCAAATGGCTTTTATTGTGAGATTTGATCTTAAAGCCCAGAAAGGTTAATTTCCTTCCTTCCTTTCCCTCCTAGCTTTGTTCAACCTCATACCTGTGGGTTTGCGAGTGGTGGCAATTCAAGGCGTTCAGACAAAGCTGTACCTAGCAATGAACAGCGAAGGATACTTGTACACATCGGTGAGTCCCTGCTTTCTATATTTGGGCTGTTCCTCTGTCTTGTGGGTGCCGGAATCCTCAGTTCTGAAAGGGAGCAGCAGGGTTTCCTTGGCAGAGTTGTGGAGGCGGCAGCAGCTTCTCAGTTTTTGGTTTTTTGCTTTTTAATTGCAGTATATTCCTTTGGTCAGTGCATTTTGCTGTGTAGGATTACAGCTTACCAGAGGTTTCTGTAAGGTCGTAACCTGGTCGCCTGTGGCGAATCTGAGTTATATACAGGAAACCATGAAGAAACATCATATGTGGTGTTTTGCTTGCTTGTTTGCTTGCTTGTTTTTGTTATTTCTCTCTCTTTAAAGTGATTGTTTTGCTCTCAAGGCTGTCCTCAGGACTCAAGCTGCTGTGAGGATAGTAAAATATTTGTGTTAGGAAAGAAGCTTTGGTGGACCTTCTCCCCACCCCACCCCATAATGGACAGGGGCACTACCCTTGCTTTTCCTTCAGCCGGTATGAGTTGCAACCTCTCTTTGGAATGAGTATTCTTGCAATTAAGTTCCATGGCAAATCAAACTGGCCTTTATCATGACCTGACTGGTACAGCTGTGTGCCCGATCAAGAGATGGAACCTGGAGATTCAGGGTTCACATCCAGTGACTGGCCCAGTATCCTTCCAGTTCCACTGGGTTTCAATTCCAGCAGGGATTGCTGATTTTGGCATGTTGGCTCTAAGCACACACCCTCACTGCAGTAGTTAATAAAGCAAAAGAAATCTCACAGCCTGTTCTGGTGTGAAAATAGGTGCGTGTTGATCTTGTTGTTTACTGGGAGAATGATTTTATTAAAAGTTCTGCATTCAAAAGTAAAACAAAACCAAAAAAACCAGAGTGAAAAAACAGAACTCACAATTGCAGAATTGTGCAATTCCAAATAGCATTCTTTTAAAAAATCATCCCTTTTAAATTCATTTCTAAAAATATGATTCTGTAAATTGGAGTTTCTGGAATGCCGCATGCTGCAACATTTGAAATTCTACCCCAGTGAACATATCTTGTAAAGCAGTCCCTTAGCATACAGGAAACAATCTGGTGAGGCTTACCTTGCAGGATTCTTAGGAACATGGAAGAATGAACTAGCCATGATGCCCTGCACAACCTGACAAAACAGCACCATAAAAAGACAATCAAGGTATAAATATTACTAGTACATTTAATTTGCATGCACTTAAACTGACTCTCTGCTCTAAAAGGACCTCCAAGTCAGGGCAACTCAACTTTTAGCTAATATCACATCATCTTTACATATGTTTTATTTATATGTGTAATTATTGCATTCAGACATTTAAATATTTATTTCTCATCATTTGATACTGCCCAATAGCCAAGGCTCTCTGGGCAGATTAACTAAAGTTAAAAACACAGAAACAAAAAGGAGTTAAAAAAAGGCAATGAAACCGCAACAATTGCAACCAAATCAGCACAGAGGTATAGCAGTGGTACAGGATACAATGCAATATTAAAACTGAAGTTTAAATGTTAACTGTTAGAATACTGGGAAACTAAAAGTGTTTTCACCTGGCACCAAAAAGAACGCAGAGCAAGCACCAGGTATGCCTCTCTGGGGTGCTCACCCCGCAGCCACGGTGCCACAGCTGAAAAGGCTCTTCTGGTAGCCACCCTCCTTTGGAGGGGGCTCCTGGAGAAGGACCCATGAAGATGATTTCAGGGTCCGGGTAGGTACATCTGGGGCAAGGCGTTCCCTCAGATACCCTGCTCACACTGAAATCATGGCAGCGTCCTCTTTGAAACACCCAAACGAGCAAAGTCAACTACCTACAAAAAGCCAAACAGAGGGCAAATCACCAGCTTAAGACGGAGCAGAGATGGACCCCCCCCCCCTCCAATTCCACTCCCAGGCATTGCCCCAGAAGGGAATCCGTTCAGCAGCCCTGGCAGCCTCAGCTGGGTGGTGGGGTGCCAGCTTGGGTTCCTAGTGGAGCAGACCGTCATTGGGATCTCTTGCCCCAGTATGAGAGTTTTCTCTGCCAGTACCCACACCATGAATTGGACCCAGAAGCAAACCGCAACTCTGTGACACCGAATTACGATGGGCAATTCAGAGCAGGTAAACTGCATGCCAGAATCCAACCTGGCTGCCACAGCTTGCCCTGGCCGCGTGTCCCTAATATTCCTCCAGGGCGGCCCCGTGGCACCACAGATTGCAGGGGCACCATCCAGATGGGAAGGGATTAAGGCATGGCTCTTTGTGGACAGATCTGTCTGAGAAACGGAATTCCCCTAAGTTGCTTCTCCCACTGCAGGCTTGATCCCGGGGGAAGGTCCACCTGTGGCATCTGTGCCTTGCTTGCAGCCTTCCCGGAATGATCTAGCTGCCCACTACGGATGAAACAGGCTGCTTGACCAAATGCACACTGATTCTGCAGAACTCAACAGAGTTCTCGGCCATGCATTTTAAAAACACTGAGGCACACGCTAAAATTAGAGATCTGGGCTTAGATCCACAGCATCTCTATGTACGGCCTCTGAACCTTCAACAAACACTGCTCACGTGGTATGGCGGTTCAGAACCTGGGACTGGGACTCAGGCGATCCGGGTTCTGGTCCCCACTCGGCCATGGAGCCAGCTGGGTGACTCTGGGCCAGTCACAGGCTCTCAGCCGAACCTACCTCACAGGGTTGTTATTGTGGGGATAAGACGGAGGAGGAGAATGGTGTAAGCTGCCTTGAGCCCTTTGCAGGAAAAAGGCAGGATATAAATTGAAAAATAAAATAAAAATAAATGATTCCAAAAGCTTCCCTCTGTGATCAAGAGGGCTAGAACCTTTTTTTTTTTAAGTAGCGACCACTGTGCCAGCTCTACCGGCAGCAGCAAAACTGAAGGTTCTGTGAATTGCGATTTCTGCTCCAGGTACAGGTACATATACTACCCCTCCTCTGGAATGCGTCCTTCGCACTCCCGCTTTCCGTGGCAGCCGTGCAAGTCACCTTCTGGAAGGAGAGGCGTCTGATTGCCCCTGCTCTTACACTCCGCCGTTCTTAGTGGGAATGATGTCTCATTCGTTCCAGCAGCTTGCTTTGCTCGGCCCGTGCCCGATGCATAGCAATTACGGAGCTGGGCTCTGGCGAGGCGAGGCGAGCTAAGCGGGAGTGTGATGGCCGCCCCAGCGCGGCTGATCTGTAATCAAGAACAGGGTGGATTAAGGCTGCAGCGCGTGATGGGTGCGTGGGCTGCCGGAGCTCGCGCTTGACAGTCGGGGTTTTTTTCTAGAGATTTCTCACATCTGCAAATTGCAACCAAAACAGATGCCTTGGGTGGAATGGCAAAATCTGTGTTGCAGAGAGATGGGGCAGGGCATTCCTGCTTTTCGCTTTGACGGCGTCGCAGCGCATCCCAGTGCTTTGGCAGGAGAGTCGGATTCCAGAAGTCTGCACTGCACCTCTTCAGGTTGCCGAGGAGCTTTCTTGGATGGGGAGGCAGGGGGTGTTCAATGCTTCTCCAAACAAAATGATGCACTCTGCTTTTACAGTTAACCGGCATGCAGGGGAAAGAGATTTAGCATCACCATCTCCCTGTTTTGTTAGTTTTAACCTGCAGGGAGATTTTTACACGAGGAAAACTGTCTGTGTTGCTATTGCTTCTCAGACCCCTTGTGGGGCCTCCTGCAGGAGCTCCCCTCAGATTCAAACAGGAGAGGAACTCCCCGGTTGTAGTAAGCTAGCTCATCAGGGAGAGCTCTTTAGCACATATCAGGAAACCACTCCAATTTTGTCAGTGTTGGTTTTTACTGTCAGGGCTAGATTGCAGCCACAGGTAAACCAGAAACAAAAAGCCCCAGCAGCCAGCCCTGAAGAGTAAATGAAAAACTCACGCCAAAGCAAAAGGCAGGCCTGAAAAGCAATCCAGAAGCCAGGACCGAGAACAACCACAGATCCAGTGATGCAACGAAGCTCAGGAGGACCTCGCTGCTTCTGCAAGACTCAGTTGGGAGCCTAGTGGTGGTGAAGAGCATGGGACGGGGACTCGGCGGTCTGGGTTCCAGGCCCTGCTTGTGCTTGGAGCCCACTGGGCCAGTCACAAACTCTCCACCCAGTCTACTGCACAGGGTTCTTGTTTGGGGGATAAGAGGGAGAGCAAGAGGAGGAGTCACTTTGAGTTCTTTGTAAGAAAAAAGTGGGATATAAATCTAATAAATACATAGAATAAAATAAATAAAACAGCACAGGAAGTCCTGCAGAACCTTTCCTGCCCAGGAGACAACAGAGGCAGTTCTGAAAAGCTGCAAACTAAGCGTTTCACGATAGAGAGCTGCATGCAGATCAGCAGCTTCTGACATCTACGTCATAACAGCTAGATTTCCGTAGCCAAAGGGGGCTTCTTTTTCCTTACACCCCAGAAGAGTTTCCCTTGTAATGGGACTCCCTGCCTTTGGATGACTAGCACACAAGGGGAGCTAGGTAAGCTTCTCCCAGCTCTGCCCTTCCCTTCCCTTCCCTTCCCTTCCCTTCCCTTCCCTTCCCTTCCCTTCCCTTCCCTGGGTTGTCATGTTGTCTGAACCCAGATTTATTACTGGGGATTGATCACTAGGGGGTTTCTCACTATGTTGGGGCAACCCAGATTTCAATGATAACCCACGGTTCAGAGACAAAACCCCTGGACCCATGCGAAATGTGCATGCCCTTGAGTTCCTTCAACCGCTTCTGGGGTCCCTTCACCTACATTTGGGGTGCTTGTATACCCCATTTTCAAGGGGTTAGATTGCAACACTTTTCTGTTCCATTTTGCCTTGCAAATAGGTGGCTGCCCATAAGTGTTACCAGCAAGTCCACACTCAGAGTATTGTTGTGCTCCATGAGAAGAATGTTTTTTTCTGTTTTTGTTTTTGTACATTTACACACAATAAGCACCATCCCTGCCAAGTCTTCAGACCCCACTTGGCCATCTTTCTGTGCTGGCTCATGAGATTAAATCCCATGGGGTGATGACACTGGAGGCTTAGAGCGGGCGTC